TCCTGGCCTGCCTTGGCCAGGACGCCGCACGGGTTTCTTCCGCTGTAGAACTACCCCCATGACAACATGGCATCAGTCAGATCAAATCCTGGCCACACATCACCAATTGCTTCCAAATATTCCAAGGCAATGTCAGCTATAAAAGGGGGTGCTCATCTCAAGGTAAAGACACTTACTCTCTTGCATTCAGAATCCCAAGARAATCATTATTGGCTATTAAGGATTAAGCTATGAGCCCTCGTCTCTAGCCTGGTTTGGCCCCTCTTAAGCTATTGGCTAACTTGACCGTCGGAGTCTCCGCCCCTGGGATAACACCCAAGGCCTTTGACGTGTACTTTTATCTTGTTTACAGGTCGGATCTGTTTGCTTCGGACACCAACGAAATCCCCTTGTTGCCCTCGGCCTCTTATTTGGCACCAACCTCCTCGAAGGCCCCTTACCCGAGCCCTTCTTGGAGTTAACCATTGCCACCTGCAGGAGCCTCTCCTTCAAGCCACCGTCCATTTCTGCAATCAAGAAAGGCAATCAACATTAGAAGAAAGACAATGAAGGTTAAACAAACGACACAGTTAGCTAACAGTAGGAATGCCCATACCAGGGGGGCAAGGCTGAGGCCAACCCACACCAAGGCTTCCTCTATTATTAAGGATCTAGTGTAAATTGTCCCAATCAGTCGTATCCAATTCATCACGGTTGACTCCTCCTCGCTGTTGCACGGCCTRATCCTCTCGGCTAGCGAATCCGGCGTCCCCCAGTCAGACTAGAAGGACCATCCCTATGGACAGCAAACAAAGAAAAACTTATTCTTCCAGTTGTGGATGGATGATGGGTTGTCCACTACCCTACCCCATTGACCTTGGAAGTACCATAGGTCATCACCATCGAGATGCTTCCTCAAGGCGAATAGACCCCATAACACTTTTAGGGTCACAGACACACCTCGAAGGCGAGCCATTACCAACACAGCCACTATGGTCCTAACAACGTTCAAAGTAAGCTGACTGAGGGAAATGTTGTAATGATAAAGGATTTCAGGGGCGAGAGGAGGCAAGGGAAAACAGAGGCCGAAGTGGAAGTACTGCTCATGCACACACACCTCCCCCTCGGCGGGCTACCACGGCCGGTCACCTATACATGGGACTCTAACCATATAGCCCCCTAGGATATGGTACATCTCGAAGAAATCCCTCACTTGCTCTCTACCGAGTTCACTATCAAAGTCAGAGTGGGGGAAATGCATCAGCCTCACGCCTTAGCGTTCAACCTTGACGCACTCCTCGGGATGGGAGTAGGTTCTTCAGCTTTCTCCGGCTCCACCACTTCAGGAAGCACAAGGGCGTTCCCCATGGCGTCGGCCCTCGGCCTCGTGGAGCCAATACTTTTATCGGGAGAATCTACGACCCATCGGTCACACTTGGCTCCCTCTAGGGTGGTCCTCTCCCTTAGTACTTGGATGCCAGACGCCTGAGGGTAGCTCTCAGAGGCACTATTGTAGCTCCCACTATTGGTTGAGGTGGAAGAGGAGCTGCTAGGGTCACACAAGTCAGGATGTTCATAGTAGGGGTGAGCAAAAAAAAAAAAATCGAAAAATCGAACTGATTGAAAAATCTGACTGAAATCGAACCGAAAAATCAGTTAACCGAACTAGTCGATTCGGTTTTAGTTCAATGTTTTTAAAAATCGAAGGTATCGGTTCAGTTTTGGTTAACCAATTTAAAAAACCAACAATTAACCAAACCGACTGGTATACATGTTTTTCTATATATTTATTTATATTATATATTTTATACATTATAAATTAATAAATACACATTATATATAAATATATATTTATAATATTTTATTATATATTTATATATATATATATATATATATATTTTTATAATAAATATTATAAAGAAAAAAACTAACAAACCGAATCGCCGGTTAACCGACTAGTTTCGGTTCGATTTTGGTTACCGGTTTTCTAATAACTGGTACTAYTAGTTTGGTTCACAATAAAGGCCCACAATTTGGGTAACCCCTAGTTCATAGCACTCAGGTCCAGAGTTTGAAGCCAACATGATTGAAGACAAGTGTCCTTTACGTAATGTTTGTGTGAGAAAAGAAGGCTTAAGGAATCAGTTGATTGGTACTTGAGGTCTCTAAGATCACAAGCGAAGACTCAAGGATCGAGCGAGACTCGCTCAACCAGTGTCCCTATTTAAAGGAAAACATGTACCTCAAATCTCTTTGACCCAATGGCCACAAACTAGCCGATTTGATAGCTTGAACCGACGAGTTACACATTGTGTCAACCTCGGGAAGATGAAATGACGCCGAAGGAACGAACTGGTTCGTCCATCAACTCCAGGTCAAGAGCGACCAAAACTGGACGCCCCTCTGCACCCTCTCACACATGGTCATGACYGGTCAGCACCAATGCCTGTCCCATGCACAAACTCACACTGGATGACATCGCCAACCATTCGAGCTGAGCCGAGTTGAATAGCTAGCTATTCAAGCTCGGATTGCCAAGGCAGTACGAGTCTCGAGCTCAAGCTTGGTTCGAGCTAGAACCTTGAGCCAAGCTCGGGCTCAAGTCAAAAGCTCGTAAGCTCGAGCTCGGTTCGCTCAAGCTCGACTTGAGAAAAAATTATTTATTTGATATTTAAAATTTAAAATTTATAATAATTAGTTATTATTATATATAAAAATAAAAATTTTATATATATAATATTTTTATTATGTTCGACAGTGTATGGCCTTAAGTCCAATCAAATTGATGTACATTAAACATTTATTGTAAATGAACAAAAGTACATAATTGATTCATGTTATACTTGGTGTGTTTTTGTGTAATTACCCTTAAACTGAACACTTACGAAAGTCATGTTAGTTTAGAATGTTCTCAGCCATTGGATAGACTTGGGGAAGTTTATTTTGCCAAGGCTGACACTAATGTGCTGCCAAGTTGGTTGGGGTGGCTTGTCTCAACTACTAGGGTGAGACCCGAAGCACATGTAGTGTGTGTTTGTTTGAAACACTAAACCCGAACCATTTTTCAGTTATGCCCTAGACCTTAGAGACTGGTGGGCAAAACTGGAAAGTTACACCTAACCTCTAGACTCGATTATGGTATTGCACTGCGTGTTGGATTGGGCTGTTTTTGATATGCCAATCAATGAAATCCTTAGAGGGGGTCAAAACTTGGGCATGTTGGGGCAGTCTGAGAATTCACTTGACTAGGTGATCATAGTGACAAGATCATCCCCTTTGTTGCACAAAGTGAATGATTGGGGACTGCACTCTCTCTGATGGAAACCTAAACTGTCGGCAATTGTTTTCAAGCTTGTTTGAGATTTGTTTTGCAAAATATATTTATATGAATATATATATTATGTTTTATGAAAAAGGTTTGCAAAAGGTTTTAATTCCTGGGATCCATCCGAGCAAAGTGTAACACTGTACTTTGCAGCCGAGGGAGAGGTCCTCTCTTGTTGAGTAATGTTTGATCATTAAGGGCTGAGAGGTTAAGTGTAAAACTATTTAGGGCTTTTATACCTGATGGGCTAATCTCACTTAAGTCCATTGTCCTT